AGCAAAATATCTGGTCACGTATCAATATCAATATCTGTTAAAATAGAAAACAGTTCAGGTCTGTTTTTTTAAAATTAAGAATTTGAAATTAGAGCCAGTTTAGTTCACCAGCAAAACTTCGAGCCAGAAATACCTTCCCATATCCCCCTGCAACCCAGAACACGCACCACCCATCCCCCACCACAGAACAACTTCGTCACAATCAACTGAACCTACACTGACACATCATTATCGACCCAGCGTCTGTATTTACATTGAGTCATTCGTGGTCGTTGTAACCCTAGTGCGGTGAAAATGTTATCATGATAGGATCCACCATTAAGAACCATACAGAACTACAACACCAATATTCTCCGACACTGGACACAATAACAACAAATATAAGACAACATAAAACAAACCACAACACACATTTGGGTCCCCATAAACTCCTACGAGGACCACAAATACAAATGCCATATAGTTGAAAACATACAACAACTTTTCACAGACACCACGCAACATACTTTATCTCATACCGACTTTACAACAACATTTTCAATATTCCACTGCTGAGATAACAATAAACAACATTCACATACCAACATTCCAAGTTTGACAACTATGCAGTAAGCAGTTACAAAAATCTTGTGTGGGTATAACAAAATGGACCTATGTTTTCAAACACAATATTCAAAACAAAAATCCAAAGGAGTATAATGCTGAATCATAATAATGAGTATGTTAGTATGGTGACGGCCAAATGACTATACATCTGTATCATTTGCATTCTCAGCAGCAAAGAATGAAGTTCTTGTCACAACAACAAACCTCGCACAACAATAACAGTAAATTTGGCCAAATGTGGGATAGCGAGTTCCTTTTTGCAATATTAACAACAACATAACAAAAAAATGGATGCAACACACAACACATATTTGGCTATCCAATGAATCTTCTTGTGAGTGTCTGTTCAAATCTTTTTTGCCCATTTTTAAATTGAACTGCCTCATTTCACTTTTTCTCTTTTTTTTTGTTCCCTGAGCCACAGGTCTTGCTGCCGATTGCCCAGGCGGAGTGCAGTGTGGATGCTCCAGCTCATTGGCAGTCTCCACCTTCCTCGGGGTCAAACACAATTCTCTCTCCCCACCTCAGCTCCTGAGAGGCTGACACAGGTGCAACCACCCATGAATTTGGAGTTTTCTTTGTTGTTTGTTTATTTGTTGGTAGACGATGGGGTTCTCGCCCACATGCCTAGCGGTCTCAAAATGCCTGGACTCAAGAACACGCCCTACACAACACAACACCAATGTGAAGGGATTACAGGTCGTAACCCACTGCCGCCTGGCCTGGACCTGTTCCTTTTCTTATTGTCTTGAGGTTTAAACCAGTACAGTCTCTGGAGTTAAAGTGTCAACTCAGAAACATGCCAGGCTGGTCCTAAAGTATGCCCAAGGAAAGACAGTATCCGAATTTCACCTGTTCCACTTGTTTGCTTTCTGTTTCCAGTTGTTAGAGCAGTCCAGTAGCATGAAGGTAGGACAAATAGATGTGAATTCAAAACATGAATTGTATCTCTCCTATCAGCCAATGACGCACAACAGCTTCCCCTAGTTGTTATACGAAATAACAAAGAGCTGGGTTTTCTTACCTGGCAGTACAGGACTTATTATTTAATCCCATTGTCAGCTCTACCTGATCATGGATAAGCTAGATATCCTTGTCTGAGCCCTCAGTTTCCTGTAAAATGAGGTAATAAAAGGACCTACCTCATACACAGCTCTTAAGCGAGAATTAAAGAGGATAATGAATGTAAAGCACTTAGGAAAGCTCTTGGCACGGTACACTCATAATGAAAAGGAACTATTTATTGTAATGTCCCAGTCTCCCTGAAACCAAAGCTGTGGGCAAGCTGATGCTTGATGAAAGATCCTAATGGCCAATCATTGCCTCTCCCTCTGCTTGACAAAACAACTGGAATTCGAAATGTTTCAGCTATGTTCCAATAGTTTCAGACCACCTGCATTCAAATCATAGCAATGCAATGATTTAAAAAGTGGATCCACTGGCTGTGGTGGCCACATGCCTGTAATCCCAGCACTTGGGAGGCCAAGGCATGTGGATCGTTTGAGTCAGAGTTCAAGACAAGCTTGGCCC